AAATATTATTATGTTAGTGCCTGATAATTACAAGTTTATCTTTTTTGGATTCGTTAAATAGAAAAAAAATTCGTTACTTAATAGGTTCTCCTTTACTGCTGACTTGGTAGTCATTTTTTGATATCATTAAGTGTGTAAATAGATTCCTTAATTGAAAAAAAAAAATTCGTTACTTAACAGGTTCTCCTTTTATGCTTCTTTCTTGAAAGACAGCTCACAGAAAAAAAATTCGTTAACTAATTTATGAAAGCATTAATTGTGGAAATAGTTACTTAAAGATCAGGCTGAGTCATCACACCAAGCATGGCCCAGCAGCAGCAGGTTGTCCGTTAAGGCCAAACGTCCCAGGGGTCTATTTAGTCGTTCTCTTAAGAGCGCCAGCAAGTTACCGTTCGTATTGCCATAGTATTGCCTGGTAGCGTGCCCGGCGTGGTAAAATAGTCAATGATGATCGTCCCTGGATTCGTAGTAATCTTGAAGACGTATTGAAAATTTCATGTTACGAAGATACTGTATCTGTTGATGCGAAGACCAAATASTAGTAGTACTCAAAAAAGGAGAATTCTTACTCATTGGGGTGTTCTTTGACTTCGACTGCTTCACACTTCTTATTCGTCGTGCTMCTTGTACCGGTATGGTAACACGAAGAATACCCGTATTAAAACAGTCCTTATTTTCACTAGGTTCGTCAGAGTCATACCGATACGGAGCGGTACATAGCTTACAGGTCATAAAAAATATTATTTCACAATCTCATTTCGATTCGTGGGATATAAATTGGAAGATTCAGACTGCAAATTTCCCAGTGATGAAGAGCAACAATATTGAAGAGGAGAAAGGATTTGATCGCCTCATAGAGGTCTCAAACAAGCGAGCGGAATGGGCAACCCTCGCACTTACAGAGAAACTTAAGATCCTAGAGGAAATRCTTGTCACCATAACGAAGGAAATCGAATACGATGATTGGAAAAGCTTTGGCAAGTCTACTGCGGAAATGATGGGTTACGATACCCGTGAGACGATTGAAGGAGATTTGATAGCCACAAAAGAGGTATTGGCGATGWCCCTGACCGCTAAAACCGAAACAGAGAACTTGATCATGGCTTACAAGATTCGTGCAGGCCTCACGGAACCCCCGAAAAAGTTTACCAAGGGAAACTTTGAAACGAGAACTGCGATCAATGGACAAGTTGTAGTCAAGACGCATCCAATTATTCCGGAAGATAAGGCAGGATTTCTCCCTCATTTTGAAGCTGAGGTTTGGATGGATGCATCGAAAATCAAAGACGCTTCGCAAGTGGAAGCTTTCGCTTTTGACAAAGCCTGGGAGCATTCTGTTGGCGAAGAAGGCGGTTTGATGATGTTGTTTGGCGCCGGAAATCAGGCGATTTTGACATTCGTCGACATCATGGAGGGCCTCTTCAAACGCAATTATGTTGGGTACGTGAAACAGCATCCCATTCGCAACTTTACGAATGATTTTTTTTCGAGGCTTATGGCTCCGCTCATATCCAGAGGGTACTTAGCGATTGAAGCCCACACATCGATCGAGCGTGCATCAGCATTGGTCTACCATCCACTTGTGGATGCATTCCACATTACAGGTGGAAAGTCTACCCATGACCTGTTAGTCTGGGGAGCGGATCCGAAGGAACGGGAAGAGAATCTCAAAGCAAACACACCAAAAATCAAAGTTGCCACCTCCGAACTTGGTGCCGTTTCGCCATGGGTGGTTGTGCCCGGAAACTATACAACGGCAGAAATGAAATCTCAAGTAGCGGTTAWGGCAAATTTCAGTACGTGCGGTTTTGTGTTCATTCTGACAGTATCAATAATGTGGAGTATGAACTGCTTTAGCGTCAAGGACTCAACATRCTCATTTTCTTTTCTTCCAATTCTATATTGTGGTAATCGACACGTTATGTAGTTCATTCAAATGCATCTTGCAACTGTATGGCTCCGAAATGTATTRTGGTGGCCGACGAGTGGGACCAGAAGGACGAATACCTTCAGCTTTTGGACGACGAATTGGCGCATCATTCGTTGCCAGTYGCTTACTACCCCGGTATTCAACAACGATGGGAAAAATTTTCTAGCGAGTATCCTGATAGCAAAAAAATTGAATCAAAATCTGGGATGGGAATCACAGAGCGAAAACTATCCGCGGGTGGAGTAAACAAGGAGGCGCTGTTGCTGCCTTATATTAAAATCGAGACAGAGGTGGATCTGAAGTCGGATGYCGGGAAAGAAGCTGCCAAGAACGAGTATATTTTTAACAATGAACCATTTTCCCCCGTATACGCGATTATCACTCTCAAGGATACTAGCCAAACGAGTCTCATGGAATTTGCGAAGACGGCTTCGACGTTTTGCAATGATTATCTATTTGGTACGCTATCAGGATCTATCACGACCCCGCCCTCATTGCTGGAARACGATAGTGTTCAAACGCTTATTGCAGAAATGAAGTACGGTTGTGTTGCTGTTAACAACGCAAATGGACTTGGCTACGTTATCCGCCATGCTGGTATGTGGGGTGCCTTCCCAGGTGAAACTCTTGACGCAGTCAAGTCTGGAATTGGGAAAGTGGGCAACGTTTTTGCAATTCCTTATTTCGAAAAAATGGTGTATGTATCACCCATTATCCATCCAGGTAATTTGGTGCTCGAAGATGATTTTGTGAAGGACAAACGTAAGCAGGAGGCAGCTTCTAAGTACTTCTTGTACGGTGGGGTGGGAAATTTCATAGAACTGATTAGTGCCGCCACCGGTGTTGAATTGGTCAAAGTGGGAATGATTGCCACAAGCATTGCGGTCGCTGCAGGTGCTTACCTGTTCCGACTTGACAAGTAAAATGTGTCGTATCGTTGCAGATACCAAAAGAGAAAAATGAATAGTGACAGAGAGTATTGCAGTGCAATTCACATGTTATTTTTTGACGGAGATCTTGGAATTGGGTTGAGGAAGCAGGGAGGTTGCTGTTCCTGTACTTCCTTTCTCCGATTCAAAATTGAATGTTTCACGTGGTAAATTAATCCTAGATGTCGCGAWAAAATTAGCTTGGCAACTTATACATCTTGTGAGAAACACAAAAAACAATAGGCAGTTAAGACTGTTTGACATGGTAAATTCGACCGAGACGTCCCTATAAATTAGCTTGGCAAGTGATCTTGTGATAGACACAATGCTCGATAGGCAATCCATCCTGTTGAATTCCGAAGCTGAAGATGTACCCCTAGAAACCACCACGAATCAAAGACAGGGCCAAGTCTTCCTGTCGAGCCACGTCCATGGGATTGTCGCCACCTTCGCTTTCATCGCTTTCGCTGTCGCTTGAAGAGGCAGTAGAGGTCGAGTCGTTGGATGACGTTGATGATGATGACTGAGAATTTTTSTCACTATCATATGTGGTCTCTGTGGTAGCCAAAATGGCTAGTTGTTTGTCTCCATCACCTTCCTCTGTACGACGTCCGTCCTTTTCTTTCATACGTTTCTTCTTATGCTTAGCACGGATTCTMTCTCTTTCTTCTTCCTTATCAAGTTCCTTGGTTTTCTCCAGTCGCTGTCTAACTTGCTTAAGGTAGCCATCATTAGCTCCTTGTAAAGCTTCAGCAATTTCTTCATCGTCAACGCTGCCAGTATCACTATCGTCGTCGCTGTCGTGTTTTGCTTCAAAGATCTTGGGCTGGACAGTTCCATCTTCTTCGAAAACTGTGTGAACATTTTCGCTGGAGTTTCCTCCATCAATTCGTATCTTTTTAGGCTTTCGGACTTTTGTAGATGCCAAAGGAACAAGGTCTTCAGCGACATCGCCAGCTTCGTGTCTTGCCTTAACCACCAAAAGGTCATCTTCTCCATCATCTTCGTCATTATCTGCCTTGGTCTTCTCCTCTTCTTGCCGTTTTCTCTTCTTCTTTGCTTCTTTCTCCAATCGTATTTGCTCCTTTAGTTTTTGCAACTTCCGATTCACRTTCTTCGTCGTTCTGACATCATCGCGACTAGAAACATTTTGCAACACTTTCTCCAGATCACCAGGGATATTTGGTAATCCAAGAGAGTTCGCATATTCTTCGAGATTCAATTTGCGAATTTGCAAATTGGTCCAGATCCCATCCTTAGGTAGAAGAGACATCGACCTRACGTAAGACCAAAAAGCTTTCTTGGCCAATGCATACAACGAACTGTGCTCGGCCACCAAAGAGGCTGCCCGTTGAGTGACYAACATGGTTTTTGTAGGATTGATAGACTTCTTTTGAAGGTTTGCTTTTAGCCTTTGTTCTTTTTCATTCTTATTGTTTCTTACGAATGGTTCTTCCTCAGCTGGATCCAGCAACAAGAGTGCCTGACCATCTTGCTGGAAACGCGCTGTTCGTCCAACTCGATGGACGTACATATCGTAATCCTCAGGAGCATCCGCCTGGACAACCCAATCTACCGACGGAAAGTCGAGACCTCGACTGGCCACGTCCGTGGCAAACATTACGGAATGAGGAGTAGTTGTRAATTTGTCATAAACTTGAAGCCGTTTGGTCTGGGAGAGTTTTCCATGGATAGCCAAWACACTCAATCCGGGACGAAGTCGGCAAAACAGATCCCAGGCATGCCGAACTTGACTGCAAGTCGCAAAAAAGACGATTGTCTTGCATTTCAAATGCGTCTTTATAAAGGAATACAGGCAGTTCAGTTTGTGTTCGACAGGAACCAAAACGTAAGCCTGCTTCAGTCGATCTGGCGTTTTGGCTGAATCTTCATCGTGAACGCCAACATATTCCACGGTTTTGCGATTAATACTCAAAGTTGCCAAATGTTTAACGTCTTTTGTTTGAGTGGCACTGAATAACAGGGTTTGCCTTGCTTCTCCTTGTGGCAAATAATCCAAAATTCTGACCAATTGATCCCGAAATCCCATRTCCAAAATACGGTCGGCCTCATCCAATACCAACATTTGTAACGAGTCGACATTGAAGTACGGAGTTTGTTCTAAATGTTGCAAGAGTCGACCCGGAGTGCAAATGAGAATGTTTGTCGTAGGAATCGATTGCTGTTCCCGAACGAAATCGTTGGACTCAATATTTTGTTTGTTCTTGTGTCGTCCTCCCATCAATAATCCCAGAGAAAAAGAGTGCTGTTGTCCAATTTTCCGCAATACAGCAAATATTTGACCTGCCAGCTCTCGAGTCGGAGACAAGACAATCGCTCCAACACCATCTTGAGGTGTCCAGCGCTGTCTAAACAGTAGCTCCAGCAAAGGGATCAGAAACGCTAGTGTTTTCCCCGAACCCGTCTTAGCAGCTCCCAAGATATCACGACCCGCGAGGGCATGCGGGATGCTCCCCGACTGTATGGACGTCATGGTGGTATATCCGTTTTTCTCCAATCCTTGTAACGTAGCACTGGACAACGGTTGTGACGCAAAAGAAACCACCGAATTYTTTGCATGTGCAAGGCTACCCCTGGCGGGAGTTTCCTCTTCAATTCGTGCATTGAGAGCTGCAATTTCTTCGGCGGGGGAGATCTTCTTGAAGTTTTTTTTCCTCCTTCGTTGCGTTTGATTATTCTGATATCGCGATGTCATCTTTAGGCATTGATCTGGGTATGCTCGTCGACAAATTACTGTTACCGTTGCGATGAAAGAGRATTTCAAGATGTGAAATCACCGACGTAAAATTCGCTTCGCATCGAAAACTGGAGAGACGTCGTAGCAAAATTTGCACCTCTCTGTTTTTCATACTACTGTTTCCTACTTGAACTAAGGATAATRWAATAATTGCGGAGATGTTCTWAACTRCYGTACATCGTAATGTACGGTATCGTACTATTCCTGTCGCTCGTACAGWATGAATATTTTGAACACAATTCTTGTTTTTTCACGAATAAGAACTAGAGCAATGACTGGTCGTGAAAAATGGGGACGATCTTTCATTCATTGGCACTTCCCCTAAATTTTTTTAGGATTACTTCTACTATACGTAAAGTAGATACGGTACGTRTGTACCATACGTTTTGGAAATCGATGATGTTCGTGATTGGTGGGCAATGTCGAAACATGATGTTCTTCCTTCATCATACATCGTCATCCTGACGTTCAGTGCTGCAAATTTCATTTAATTATTTATATCTAAGGAGTATTGTACTTCTTCAAATTATTTATTACCCTGAGAACAGATGGCGAGCATGTGACATTCAATTCTTCTCTTTTGGGTTCACTTTTTTGAGGACCGAAGTTTTAGATACCGTTTCAACGGTGGTGGAATTCAGACATCAACAGCGCTTGTGAACCAGAGCACCAGCAATATTATCTCTAACCAGCTCCSACAGTARCGTGCAAGCAACCATTGTTCGAGAGATTCAAAAGCCCATTCATTTTCCTCTKTTGTCGCTTCTCATTAATTTTTTCTCTTCATCGACTAYATTACAGATGCACCTTTGATTTGACTGACAATTCGAGTAATGGATCACATGATACCATTCCACTCTGGTGAGTGACTACAKCGGATTGGTAGAAGTTCCTTCAGATTTATTTGTGTCAAGGAAGTAGAGAATGAAGCGAAACGATCCAACAATGCAATCGTAACCATGGCACTGGTTTACCTAATTCTGCCGCGCCGTTGAATGGCAATGCCGTCGCAGAATTAGACAAGCCAGGGCGTCGGTTGGAGTATTCATTGCATCAAACAATTGTATGCAACCAATGACATAATAAAATTGGAGAAGCATACGAACTGGTTGAGATTAGGATTATCTGTATGACTGTATACGTACGAAAAAAATCTTGTCGAGCTTTTTTCATTTTTTCTATTGCAGAAAGAAATATGCATCAGAGAGGAAGCCATGTTGGAAAATGGTGGCAATATCGAAGCGATGCAATGACGATATAAGATCTATGTTGACGAAAAAAAGCCATTTATATTAATATCGAGGAGAAGAGAACRATGAGTCAGGAGCCCACCGTAAGATTTTAGATCTTCCACTACGCCTTCCGAGGAGCGAAGCGAAGCTGAAGAGGATGAAGCGTAACAATCAAGATTGTATCACCAGTAAATAATGTTGGCACCATCCATGAATAGATGATTATCGTCGCAATGATACTTCAAAAAGGTTAACACGGTGTCACTCTGATTGGGTTTTACTGCGCGAAACAATCGACTAGCCAGCAGCACTCGTAGTGACATTTCGCTACTCTTCGTGACCAATTTTGTTMAAAAATTCTGCAAGACGAGAGCAACGAAATAATTTTCATACCAATGCTATTTGGGAGACTTAATTTTTAAAGCCTTGTTAATTTTGATCAAGCCACAAAGAGTCCAACATGTCCAGARTACTAACAGTAGTTGTAGACGATTTCTGGAGCTTCAAAAGGAAAAATTATGCMCTTTCCAYTGTGCCTAACGGAACCGAAACCACAAGAWAATGACATCGYTGCGAAGAAATTACAAATTACTACAAGGAGCTCCTTCTGATTCTTACTAATGGAACAWCATCCTCTATTCCCAGTACAGGCGACTACAGATGCGCGAAAGCGAAAACGCATGTTCCACCGCAGGTGTTTAGCTTCTGATGCATCTCCTTTCTCCTGYCACAGATTTTTGATGGATCACTATAACTGATTTCAATGGAAAGGAATGCAAAGATYAGCGGGCCAAAATCTTYCTTCCACAYTAAGGCGGTTGTCTTGTTCTGAAAGTGATAAACCACGTAGCAGCCACATTCAAAAATTACATCTATCTTAACTGCAAAGTTTGAAACAACCAGTATCAGTTTAGGGCGATCAATTCTCACGAGTCTAATACTGTGACTTTGCCCATCCTGGACATTCCGGCGATGCGAGCCAGTTTTCCTCCTCTGCCGTAGTTGGCCGTCYTTGTGCCCTATTTCTATGAGGATAATGCCCAAATTTTTCCAGAACTTTGGTATGTTCCAAAAGAAACGCTGTCAATGTAYCCCAGCTAAGGTTTGGATTGCGCAATTTCCCCCACTCGATTAAGTCACGTCCCAATTCATGGTCAGGTATGGATTCTGAGTGCATGAGTGGCAAGGTCAAGATAGAAGCATACATTCCATGGATCTCATCTGACCTGGATGTATTCGATAAGGCTTCCAAAGACATTTCTKTCGCCAAACTAAGAGCAACGTCGTCGTACTGAAATGCTTCTTTAGTWCCACGGAAACAATTTCGACTCAGTTGGTCGCAAAGCAATATTCGAGCAAACCTTCCGTCAATAGTTCCCCATTCGCCATCCGTGAACAACTCGTTGCGTCCTGCATCTCGGATGAGATCCTTGAACGAATGACACAATTTGTCGTATTCTTCGTGGCCAAAATACCAAAAGGGCACCATTTCTTTTTCAACCTTGCCATCCCCGAGCAGATCGGATACGTCGGATGCGGAACAATCTATTCCGAAGAAAAAGGAGCGAACTGCTATCTCACTTCTAGGGTTGGCGAGTGCATGCTTGATGAACGGCTTCGCCGCAAACTCCGCTACAGCGGCCGAAGTCAAACCAAATRCCATGATCAACGCAACTCTGTTTGTCCTATTTTCCACGTGTGATGTTGAGGGGAGGCAGGCATCATTTTGAATTTTCGAAATATTGAAAAAGTTGCATTTTGAAAGATTTTTTTTTAAAACGGGGCGCAATTTGCTCTCTTTTTCCAAAATAATTTATTGAMGCATCTCTTCTCCTCACCCTGTACGGTACAATGGTGACGCCAAGGCCATTCTACTAACAGCTGTTCTCCCCACCCTGGGACGATCATCATTGACTATTTTACCACGCCGGGCATGCTACCAGGCAATAGWCTGGCAATAAGAATGGTAACTTGCTGGCGTTACCAGAACAGTTACCAGAATCTGGTAGGATTTATGGTAGCAATCCGGTATTCTTACCAGTTACCAAAATCCGACTAGAATTGCTACCATCTTGCTACCATCTTGCTACCAGATTGCTACCAGATTGCTACCATCAATGCTACCAGATTGCTACCACAAACGCTACCAAAATATATGCCGCACTACCAGAATTTTTTTAATCTCCCAGCCCCCTCTTAAGTATGACTCATTCAAACGAATACGGGGGCTAAGAGAATCTAATTATTATAGAAAATATCTATGGTAAAATGGTAGCTACCAGATTTCGACTAGAATTGCTACCATCTTGTTACCATCTTGCTACCATTTTGCTACCATTTTGCTACCAGATGGTAGCAATTTTAGTTGCAAGATGGTAGCAATTCTGGTAGAAATTCTGGTAGTAATAGTTTCTTGGAGGTCCCGGGACTGCAAATATGCTTCATTTTGTGTGTTAAGCTGCGCCTGCTGGTTCCATTCCAGTAACGGGTCTAGTAGCAAAGGTGCATGGTAAAATCTTCAATGATGATCGTCCCTGATCAACACCAGTGTCTTCCTTGACTGCGCCAACCTTAGGTGCCTGGCATAAACCAGCAAAAACATGAACACTATTTTCCATAACAACTCTATCTGGGAGTGAGGAGTGTACAAAAAGATGTACAAAAACAAGATGTACCACAATATTGGGTTTGACTTTAAGATTGTGAAGGAAGCAGCCCTGAATTACTGGAGCTTCCTCCACAACCTGATTATCTCAATCACAACCCCAAGTTCACCAAGAAGTCCCCCCCCCCTCCCCCTTCTCCCTCCAATCCATAACAAGGGCACTCTTGCACTGTTCGACACCAATCTCCAGCTTGTTGAGCACAGGAAAGATGATTTCTTGATTACCGGGGAAGCACTCAAGCTCTTTTTGGCGTTTGGCAAGGTCCTCACAGGGCTCAACAATGTCATTCCAGTTGTTGATGATGACAACAGTGACTCTGGCATCCATGAGCACCAATTGACAGTAAACCTACTCTACCTCAAGGATAGGGGAGGGTTTTGCAACCACAAGTCAAACTTTCCCTATAACAACAATCAATAGCCCAYCAGCAAGACAACCAAGGCTGATAGGATGTGGCTCCAGAATGCAGCCCAGGCAAGAAGCATCATGATGTGTTTTCCCTATTTGTTGGTGGTTCCTGTGAGGCTAGAGAGGAACAGTATTGCTCAGGAGAAAAGCAAGTTCATCAGTTGTGTGTATCTCAAAGCAGCCAAAAAAGTTAGCCACCACTGACAAGTTGAATGTGAGTTCTATGATGAGAATGTCTTTAGCAACCATGGCATGACAATTGTCCACATTCTATCTGAGCTCAACTATCATGCACCATAAACTAGTATGATCAYAACATTCCATTGACCCATAAAACACTCACCATAGTAATTTTATAGTAACAGTAATAAAACTTGAATTGGTAGCAGAATGGATCATATAGCTTCATTTTCAATAGCATCAAAAAATGGACCTATCTCACCATCAGTATTGTGGCCTTGGTTGTGTAGATGGAACATTTTTTTGCTGAGGGCTGTCCTCATTCAACACTGGTGTTGGCCACTTTCCTGTTCTTGTTGCTGGTGGTGCCTGCTTCCTCACAGCAGTGTTGGMCTTAGCAGCAGTCCCCCCTCTGCAACAATTTTTGTYGAAATAGATGTGGTACCACCATTGTCCCTGATTTTCCATGGAATCAATATGTTCTTTTGCACAAACCTCCCCCTCCAGTAGGGAAGAGATCCGTCTACTGTAATTGCTTGTTGGGCTTGCTCCATGGTTGTTTTGTTCATTCTAGTGGGGTCTGTTGTTCCTTTATTTCTGGTCAAATTGATCCACACTTTGGTGGTATCATTGCCCTGTGGTAGAAAAAGAGATCCAGCTACTTTGTTTTGAAAAAGAAKGCAAGGAGGGGGGGAATACCATGGTGAATTTGAAGATATGGTTAGTTTTTTTAGGATGCCTTCAAAATATTGAGTTATGCTTGAGCTCCCCTCCAGACCTCTTATGAAGCTATGGAACCCCAGGGATAGTACTGTCTACACCAAAGTTTTATGTAGATTAAGAATATGGAGGTTATATTGCTGGTAGAGCAATTTATAATATCCTTATGATTGGCTAAAATACACCTTTAGTACACCTATGGGCACACGCTCCAAGAATTAACAAGAAGGGATATCAAAATGTTTGCTRCTAATTAATATGTAATACTAGTGCAAGTTGCTGATATGATGGAGGAGGTTGTTGATACAGAGGACTCTAAGAAACCTGTTGGCCAATTAATCTGGTGATACTTCTGCACCCCCCAATCCCCTTGTTCTAATTATTATGAAGTTAGTATTCTACTCTATGCGTGGCAGCAGGGGGAAGTGTTGCTTATAACACTATCTGGAGGGCGAGACAAAACCTTGTGTTACTGGTTGTTTTCTGACTACTACTAAAAACTACATTTTTATTTATTGATTCCAGATTCTTTGTWCCATGCTGGATTGTTTGCCTTCCTCCTAATAGTACTGCCTCATACCACCAGTACTAGTAGCTTTTGCTTACTACTAAGTATTACGGTCACACACGAAGTGTCGTACTAAAGAGCTAAAATCATATCATAGTATCAGCTAGTGATATTATTGGTAGTACTCCTACTATTGATGATAGTACTAGTAGTACTGCCTAATAATACTAGTAGTTCTAGGGTTCATGTTTCCTTTTGGATTTGAGGTCCCATGGTGAACAACAATTTCAAAAGAAATATTGTTTTCTATTACAACAACAASTACTGCTAGTAGTAGGAGCAGCAGATACCACCAGCTGTTGTGATGAGAAATAAGACAAAAAATAACTAGTGTTTCTTATTGCGCGATTTTAGTATCACTTAATACTAGTACTTGTACTAAGTAATCGCAACTGGTCGATTACAGTTTTGAGTGCTATCTCCAAGCAACGACCTCCACAGGATTACTCATGCCAGTATGAGTGCTCGAACCTGCCGTTTTCCAGCACCTACGGTATATACAGATACATCCACGAAATAATCCTCGAAAAATTCCTTCGTCAAAACCACTTGTCCCAGTCGCAAMAATCAATCAACGGTACATTGACAAGCAGCGAGCCTGTTTYAGCGATGGAAAAGAGAAACCATGGAGGTAGAAAGCTCAGAAACAACCGGAAATGAAACCAGTGTTGCATGTGCATCAGGTGCCGCAAGCAGCGCTACCRCCAATCGAAAACACGCATGCGAAATCGWAGTGACGTTCCCTACAAATCTTCATGCACAACAAGCTCTAAACATTTTGCAAGTTGATCGAGAACCCACGGACCGTGTTTCCAAATCATTTCGTTTGRTGAMGACAAATGAAACCGCAGAAGATAGCAAAGGCGGAGTAAACGAAACTATTTGTAACTTGAAAGTGTGAGTAATTTTTGTTCAAGCTTTTGGATGACGGGATACCAATAATTTGTTGGCGCCGAGAGACAGAATCCCTCAGAGAGACGGCGCAATGCCATCTGACGATAATTCGATGAAACCAAATCTTACGTAATCGGACAATGATTTTGTGTACCGTTGATTCTTTCACCAATTTCCCGGCATTACTTTTGTGATATGCAACGAATAATTATTGAAGCCGATTCGAAAGCAAGGAACTAAAGATGATTCGAGTTGCAGTGTCATCATTTTACGACTATTTGACGGTATTCTTGAAGACTGTTCAAGAATTTGACACGGCATTATAGCAATGGAATACTAGTCTRCTAGTATACAGCAAGTGCAATCAAAGTCACAGCGACTCTCATCAGTTCAATAGAGACAAAATTTRAAGCTTTTGCGTGTTCTGTTGTGATGTTTAACCGTCATTGCACCCAGGATCATAAGAATGATGTAGTACTAGTACATTTGACAAAACTGATGTTTGCAATGTTAACTTTGAAATTTTCACAAGAACAGCAAGAACAAAAAATATAGAACAAAGAAGAAAAGTGGAGCAAGAAAGTTGTGACAAAAGCAAAAAGAATAACGTCAACAACTAGCCAGATGCAGCAGGAGGAACRACTAGCACAGAAGCATAAGCACCAGCAAGAACAAGAAGAAGAACAACCACCAGGCAGCACCAGCAGCACCAGCAGTACTACAATAAGAAATTGCAAAAGACACCTTCCAACACAGCAATATTAGTAGAAGGAGTAATAGTTCTATCAGTGCTGCTGGTGTAAGGAGATCTTAGTTACTAGTAATAGAAGTAGCAGTGTGCTTAATACAATAACAAGTACAGTATAAGGTAAACYCTTCTAGTACAAGTACTACTACTWACACTATGAATTATGAGTAATCGTACGTTGCTAGCAGTTCGAGTACGTACTGTACGTACTACTCGTAATTCATTTTCAATAAACCGAAAAAAAAATACGCTATTTCTCCTTGTTGCATGATAGATGAGATCTGACACGAGGTCGGTGTGCTTATGGTGGGGGCAATACCAAGAAATCGAGAGAAATTTCCCAGGAGTAAGTTTTACAAGCTTGCGAGCTAGCCAGCACGCACGCCACGGCCGGGGTGCCCATGCATGATGTCATGAGTAAGAAAGTCTTCGAAGTAACGTAACTCCGAGTCCTACGGKAGGTACGAGAATCGAGCGTATTGTAGCGTAGATCTATTGGCRTGTACGATACGTACGTACGKTACTGAACTAACTTACTTGTGAAATACGAGTACGAGTCGGTAAAACAATCCCCACCCCACTCCCCCGTGACTGTGAATGAAAATTCGTTGTTGCAAGGTAAAATCGTTGGAAGTCAAATTTATGCCTCCGAAATTTTGAAAATTCCGGGAACGTTCTTTCACACAAAAATCTCGATTGAAAATAAAAAATACAGTAACGATTTTGACTACGGTAACCCATGATGCATACGATACGTTACGGACGATTAATCAAGGCCTCTCAACAAAAATATTGGTATCTCAAGAAATCAAATCACGGAACGACGACGCCCACGGTATCATAAACAGCAAAAAGTGGTACAATGACGACAACCGATATCGATCCATACCTAATCAGTTTATGTCGCCAACTTGAAAGCCCAAGAGATCAGATTAATTTGGGCCAGGAATCTGAGGGAAACTGCTCTATATCCCTGGGCTTTCTCTCTCTTTCTATATATACTTCATTTGAGCTTAAATATCTTTCGTCATCCCTCGGAAAGTGTCGCCTTTTTCATCTAGAAATCGAAGGAGTTGATGATCTGGATTGGGATCCTATACTGAACAACAATCATTGTGTACTGAAAGAGCTTGTTGTCACCGTAAAATCGGTTACAGCCTTAGAGCATTTAGTGAATGCTCTGTGTCATAACAAAACCTTGACAAATCTTGAGCTTGATTACTACCATCTTGATGACACCATAATAGAAGAGAGAGAAAACAACCACTACAACGACTATTGCGAAGATATTGGTGAAATACCGAACAATGAACATTTAAATGAACATTTAAATGAAAATCATGCGTCATCGACGGCCCTCGACGAAAGATTCCTGAAGGCTCTCCTGCCTTTACAGCATGTTGTTCTTAGGGGTATCACTCCCTCCCGGGCATTGGATATTGCAGTTTTCGACGAAAAGAACCGTGCAATTTCGTGCTCTTGGGAGTATTTGACGTTAGAARACTGTGATCTGACAGGGGATAATACGACATGGCTCACTCAATGTATTGCAAATTTAAAGAAGATAGAAATAGAGAACTGCCAACTCTCTGAATCGACGATGAAATTCCTCTCAGAAGCTTACTTGACTATCTCAACTCCCAGATTTGCGACTTCCCGAGAGTCACATGGGCGTCATCGAGGAAGAGAACTGCGCCGAAAAAATGCTCTTGAAGTATTGGATCTCTCGAATAATGATTGGTTGCTGCCAACGTGCGACGTAGGTCTTGAGGTGGACAACGACTGCCAAATTAGCACCCCKGAGTATTTTGATGCCTATGGGGTGCAACCCGAGAGAAGAAAGGCACTACCGTCTCCATCATKTATGACATTGCTTGCGTCGTGGTTAGATTCACTCTCCAATCTAATAGAACTCGACTTATCCGACAACCCTCAATTATTTGACAGAGGKATGTCTGGAAACTGTAACCGRAGCATGATAGACTTATGCGGAACAGTAAATCAATCGTTGAAACGATTGAGTCTCCGCAATTGCTGTTTGATACCAAATGACTTGAATCACCTTGTAAATACTTTTTGCTGGTTGGAAGGATTGGATCTTTCGGAAAACCCAGAATTATCCTCCGATCTTCAGCCCCTGTCTCAGTTAGAATATTTGACAGAGCTGGTTTTGGAGAACATGTTCGTGAACGACTCGAACGATTCTTTTGAATTTGAACGACTRCTGTGCGACGAAGATTTTGGTATATGCACATTGGAACAGGGGCTGATCGATCTTTTGCATGATTTACTGAGTGGCGAGAGTTCAAACTKTGACAACCTCGGCGGGAATCCGAAAARAAGCGACTTTGGTCAGCTTCGACGAAAACCTTTAGAACGTCTGAATCTATCAGGCAATATTTTGAGCAAAAAAACTATGAACATTCTGTCAATGTTCAAGTCACTAAAAATTCTGATCCTGATGGGTTGCCAAATTAATGGGGAGGGGATATTAGAATTATTGAGTGCCACACACAAAGATTCGTCATTGAGGGAGTTGTATATAGGGTCGAACACTATTAGTGATACTGGTGTTTTAGCTTTGGCAAAGAGCTTAAAGCGACAACGTCTACCACGACTCAAGGTTTTGGATATGGAATCAAACGTGATTTCAGTCGAGGCCTTTCGTGTCTTTGTTGAAGACGGTTTGATACATAACAAACGTCTTGAATTTGTGGAGGTATCGAGTGATGGCGCAATTTCTCATAATCAACAGAAAACGTGGAACGAATTGGAAGAAATAATGAACCATAATCTTTTGTTGAATCAAGCAGGGCGGTTTACTTTGTATATAGACAGCAACGATAATGGGAATAAAAACACAGATTGTGAAATCGAAATTCTTCATGAGTTCAACGGCAACGGCAGGGATGTTACTAATCCAGAAAAGAACTGTGTTCCAAAAATGATGACCGTTCCAACCAATCTATGGCCATTCATCTTGGAGGATGCGGATGCAATTTACGGACCCGATGCACTATTTTACTTTTTGCACAAACGCCCCGATTTGATTTTTTCTTCCAAGCTGCCACCTCAAACATTGTCAAAGATAGACACAATGCAAAGCGCCGACGATTCTTTGACTACACCCATTAAGTCTGCTCCACAAACTAGCAGTCCCAAGGGTGTTGCCGATGTCGCTGCTTATTTATGATAGTGTACAGACAATTGCGACAAACTAACAATTGTTGGGAAACGCAATGTCCTTGGTCCAAATATGCTATATTCAAGTCAGAAACTACTGTTGCATCATAGAGTAGATTTTCAGAAGATAATAAGTACTTATGCTGCTAGTAAAGTTATTAAGAAGAGGGCCTTTTGCCTCTTTTAGACTTCTTTTGTCTGAGAGAGAAATGATGGACATCAAAAAATTGTATCACAATTACCACAACAGAGTTCATGATTTTTGTTATGATATAACCAGTGACAGTGGTTATCTGGTGGTTTTATTGATTGACGACAAAACCAATAGGCAGGCTATCAAGTACTTCATCTGTTCTCAAATAAATGTCYCTTTTGCACCTTTACTACTGAAATAAACTCAATATCTTTGCAATGGGAATGCTTCTTTTTGCACTTATCAGATCTATTATAGTGGTATATAGTTATGAAGATTTCATTAAGTGAAGTGTCTGACGTACTTGTGACAGTAGCTATGCAAGCAGGTCTCATTTTAGCATATTATTGGGTTCTACTGGTCATTTATAGATGCCACCAACARCAATAGAAAACCAAGAATGAGAGCTTTATCATGATATTCTTATTGCATTTATTGAGAATGTTCTGATGTAGTCACAGTGGGTCACTTGTAGAGGAGYCAAATATTGCTTGGGCACATGATGCAGTTATCATATGGATTCTTTAAATTTTGAGCTGGAGAGAGCRCTGAGAAGGAAAAATTGAGAAAAAATGTGCTGTGCGCATAGTGGAAATATGTACTCTGTGTTATTTTCATGTGATAATTTCACTCTTGATTTCATCACACCTCCTTTCTCACTCTTTCACTCATCTTGCTTTGTATTCAACTGACTAAGACCAATGCTTCTTTGCACCTCAAGTGACTCATTTCCTCCACTCTAAAGGGATCAATGAAGCCTCCTTGCCCTTGGCGCCTCCACTCTTAAGGGATCGTGGATCYAGTCTTGCCTTCACTTTTAAGGGTTGCCTCCTTACCAGCACCTTGCTGATAGGGGATCCATCAACGCGCTGGCGCCTGCTAATAKGGCTTGCTGATAAGAGATCCATTGACTTGCTAGCACCTGCTAATAGTGCCACCATTGCTCAAAGGTTGCTTCCACTGGTGATAGGSGACCCATTGACTTGCTTGTGCTTGCCTTCATTAAGAGGGGGGAAGCACATATCCATTGCCTCCATTCTTAATAGATAGGGCGGTGGGGGTGGAGACATGGGCATTGACTGGTCTTGTGCTCATTAAGAGGGGRGAAGGGCATGGATCCAAGCACGATGACTTCTGAAGAATCAACCAACATATGATGGGTCCTCTCTCTTTTTGCCTTGATTTCCTGCTGCTTCTTTTAACTCACTTCCCCCTTCACCCCCTCCTTGATCCTTTCTACTAAAGCAAATCAACAAATAGAAAGATGATGGTAACTGGTGTGATGGAGCTCCTTCTTGAAGCTAATGCCACTCACTCCTGCAACAAGCAATATGGAAAGCAATGATACAGYAAGGAACAATATTGCAATTGACAATACAGCAAGCAACGATACTACAAGTGAAGCCTCTTGTCCTACTAAAAGCCAGGCAAGAACTTGACTAACAAGCAAAGACAAGCAATTATTCAAATCCTTTTACAACAATGGAGCACTATTTGAAAACCCCTTCCAAAGGGGGGAGCTCTGAAGAAACCAGCAGTAATGTTTAATGTCTCAAGAAAAACTATCAGAAGGATTTGGAAGAGGTACACAGAAATATTTGACCCAATTACTTGCCCTACTGGTAATGTTAGCAAGAGAAAACACAAGAGTGGAAGGAAACCAAGACCAATATCAGATCTGGATACAATTAGAGATATCCCAAACAAAGATAGAGGTGATCTAAGAACCCTTTCAGCTGCAACTGAGGTTCCARCAACTACTGTGCACAAACTTGTCAAGTGTGGCAATATACTAGTAAAGAAGCACAATGGAATTACACAGCCTTCATCTGTTAACTGTTTTGTAGTACCTGCTTGTACCCCAAAAATTTCAACCTGCAACCTAAAAAGACTTTTCTATACCACATTTGGTACCAAAAAAATTAAGCTCATTAAATCCCTTTTCAACAGATTAGCCCATGAATTTAGAAAACTCTTCCCTTTAGTAGTATTCCTCATTGGACTSATTCAATTTGATTTGAGTTGATACCAACAAGCCAGATCCACATTTTCAAAAATTTGTTTGATCAGTTGGAGTAGGCCGACTCAATAACAAGAAGTGGTTGCCAAGGTAGCACACAATACTCTCATATTGATTACATTTTTGACACTCTTTTTCTTTGCTACTACAACAACAATGGACAGTGAGGAAACTGATKCAAGTGACAAAGAAGTGAYTGCAAGGAAACTGGACAATGCTACAGCAGCAAAAGATGGTGACAGTGTAGACAGTGATGGTCTAGTACAAACAGAGGACTRGTATCCTGGCAGCATACAGTGGTTAAAATACAAAGGGGATGCTAGTAGTAGTGGATGTTGGGTTCCAAACCAATTGGTTTGACCATGCTGGATGAACCAAAGGATGAAAGAAAGACACAAGGATCTTCTCCAGGCTACTTTTTTTTGTATAATGACACCAACAATCACTGTTATCTCTGGGAGATCAATCTCAAAGATTGTTCCTACAATTMAACCATACCTCCTGGTCCCAGTTGTTCTGACTCTGACAGTACCAGTTACACAAGAAGTGAACACAAGGTGGAGGATGAGATCACGGAGACTCCTCTTGAGGTGAAGCGCCCAGCTGCATTAGCATTTGTACYAGTTGATATGGAAGGGAGATGGCTGTATGAGAAACCCATTGGGACTCAATTATGCAGTTCCATACTAGTATTGGGGAAAGAGGACATAAATTATGCATTAAACAAGGCAGGAGGATGTTGGGTGAACGGGGCCTTTTTGGTCAACAAGCCCTTCATACTAAAAATGAAAGAGAAGGCAGAYGGTACTAAAAGTAAAAATCCAGAGCATCAAGAGCCCCCCCCAAGATCTACCAGATCCTATGACTCATACAAATTGCATCTTATATGATTCGTACAACTACAATAATGAATCGTGACTGATCTCTGAAAGTACGTATCATGTTTAGCATACATACATACCTATCTTATAGGTATGTTTATGGTCATGGGCCTATTTAGACCAGTCCTGTATGACTGTAAGAAGTCTTTTACTAGTTAACCTTTAACACAGCACCAGTACTACTAGTACACACAGCAGTGGTCATCATTCAGACAATTGATGACCACGGTACACTAACTGTCTTATTTATGGTTGATTTATTCATACTACAATGGATCTCTTAAGTAAAAAAGAAGCATTGTAATTTGCCTAATATTGAGCTTATTCCAGTAATTGGTGCTAACTGGACACATAGTACTAGCTAGTAGTACTAGTAGTAATAGGGGAACGGAGGGACCGACAAAATCATACCCCCAAAATGTCCATTTCAAAGGGGGGATACGACCGTGGGTTTCGGATCGGAGGACCCCTGCTACGGCATGAACTTAATAAATGACGTTTTCATTTCTTCAAACTGCTTCTTCTCTAGGAGCAGCAGTATCTTGTTGGCCATAAGAAATTCGAAGACATGGTTTATCGTGATTCTCTCCATGAAATAATCTTATTTGAACTCCACGATGTCTCAAGACCGAATGGGTCATTCCTGTTATTCTAAATCTCTAAAACTCTAATCTAGAGATCTAGAGTAACGGGAATCAAGACATTCAACGGACAGACTGAGAGGATGCCAGCTCGATGCCAGTCTTTTCCGGAATTTGGAATCTTACTAACTATACTCTAAAAATAGGCTCGCGTGCTGACTAAAAAGAGGCACAAATTTTCGATACGTGTGTTAAGTCTTTCAAGGGACGATTGTAAAATATTTTATTCGTGGGTTCCACTCTAAATCTAGAGTATTTAGAACCGGGTGGTTCGACCGGTTCTAAATACTCTAAATCTAGAGTCAAAAACTCCAAATTCTGATGGACTGACAGACCAAAAATTTAGAGATCTAGAGTAACGGGAATCACCCAATGTCTAACAAGTGTGACTGATCCAACGCATTGTAATGATCATGTTGAAGACCGCAGTGGTATAAACCAAAATACGTAGTATGATACGATACGAGCTACTGTCCAAAAACAGCTGATGGCGTCAAAATAAAAATTACGAGTAGCCATAATTACGGTACTCGTACTTCGTACAGACATATAGTTCCTGTTTCATCTTTTTCTCACACTCAAAACGATAGTTACACAAATAATAATAACACTGATAAAAATGCATGCAAACTGATAATAATAAAAAATGCATGCAAATGAGGCGAGGCGAGACGAGACGGGACATTATTAAGTAAAGATACTTCTTCGTACCAGCTGATACGGCGATGTTCGATATGGTTCTGAACTCTCTACTGTAACTTCTGGTTATTCAAGACACGTCAACAAAGTACATACATATTGGTCCGTATTTGAAGGTGGCACCTGCACGTGATCCAAGATNATCTCTTAAGTAAAAAAGAAGCATTGTAATTTGCCTAATATTGAGCTTATTCCAGTAATTGGTGCTAACTGGACACATAGTACTAGCTAGTAGTAGTAGTAATAGGGGAACGGAGGGACCGACAAAATCATACCCCCAAAATGTCCATTTCAAAGGGGGGATACGACCGTGGGTTTCGAATCGGAGGACCCCTGCTACGGCATGAACTTAATAAATGACGTTTTCATTTCTTCAAACTGCTTCTTCTCTAGGAGCAGCAGTATCTTGTCGGCCATAAAAAATTCGAAGACATGGTTTATCGTGATTCTCTCCATGAAATAATCTTATTTGAACTCCACGATGTCTCAAGACCGAATGTCTAACAAGTGTGACTGATCCAACGCATTGTAATGATCATGTTGAAGACCGCAGTGATAAACCAAAATACGTAGTATGATACGATACGAGCTACTGTCCAAAAACAGCTGATGGCGTCAAAATAAAAATTACGAGTAGCCATAATTACGGTACCGGTACTCGTACTTCGTACAGACATATAGTTCCTGTTTCATCTTTTTCTCACACTCAAAACGATAGTTACACAAATACTGTAATAATAACACTGATAAAAAATGCATGCAAACTGATAATAATAAAAAATGCATGCAAATGAGGCGAGGCGAGACCAGACGGGACATTATTAAGTAAAGATACTTCTTCGTACCAGCTGATACGGCGATGTTCGATATGGTTCTGAACTCTCTAACTTCTGGTTATTCAAGACACGTCAACAAAGTACATACATATTGGTCCGTATTTGAAGGTGGCACCTGCACGTGATCCAAGATCAAATGAACCAGCCCGCGCAATCCAAACAATTCGGAACTTAACCTCAATCGCAGATGGACACACTCCTTGACATGATTATGACTGTGTTTGACACTTGAAAGCGCGGCCGACAAAAGTATTAATGGCCACATCCATTTCTGTGCCCCATTGGCATCTACAGTACTTGATTTTCGTACTACTAAATTATCGATACTTGACAATAATATTTACTTCAATTTGTTCTCCATCATCATCTCGAATGAACAAATGAAAATGGACGATRAAGTAATATCAATCGACCAATCGATCCAAGCCACTCTCAACAATCGATGGTTCTCGCCTACGAAGCAAGAGTCCAGTATTGATTTGCTCGTTTCTTTCATTTAACCCTTCCAGTATCAACACATAAGCTAACATATTGAAAATAGGCAATACTATATTGAGCTTTATGAGTTCATGACGAAAAACATTCGTAAACAGATCAAAACCGAAACGATAGAATTTAACGATMAAGAATCTTTAACACTTTCTGTTCAAAATTGAAAATGTTACAATTGTCACAAAGAGCATTTGAGAGATAGTTTCTTGCTTTGTGACGGTAAGCGAATATTTATATCCATTGTATTAGTTAGTGCGTATCATCACTTTGACAATTTCACTGTTTGTAATAGGTTCCTTTTTTCAACGCAATAGTTGCCTTTTAAATTCGTTTGTGTTCATCGATGAACCGTAATTTGTTTGCGTTTGGTTTTGCAATGCTTTCCCATGGTGTTCACACTTCCTGTCTGCTACAATCTGATATGAACACTTCATTGTTGGATGTTGTGGTTTTGGATTGCTTSAAAGCATTTACTTTGTATTTTTAGTCGGATAGAGCAATGACGTACGAACTCGTGCTAAAATAATCATTCTAATATTGCTTTTTTGCCTGTCCTTCTCGTGTCATGCTGTACCATGAAAGATCAAAGAAAGGGAAAGGCAAAACACCAACAAGAAAGGACCATGARCACCAAMAGCATCAATGGGAGCAGCGAAGCAGACACGAACAAAACAACCCAGAACCAACATCGTGCACATAATATCAACACCTCCTTGGCTGCGGAATACACCAGCGGATCATCCCCATTGTTGCTTTCATCCAACCCCTCCAATGTTTTGTCTAGCTCGTCCRCTCGCTCCCTGTACGAAAACCTGCGACAGGAAGCAACGTCGTGCTGTCCAGTCTGTGGCTTTCAGAWTTTCGTGAACAACAGTATTGACACCAACACCGTCCAAAGCGCAAACGCAATCGTGGCCAGTCACCTGCCGGCGGGAACCTGCTTCTTGTGCTCCCAAGCAGTAGTCGAAGCGAACCACAGTGATGCGATCAAGACWATCTGCGACGAAAACAACATCGCCTGCAWTAGCRACAACTGGAGGGCCAAAGAAAAACAGGTAGAAGAAGATCGGCAGTTGGCCGCGACCCTGTCGGCAATTTTGTTGGAGGAAGAACGAGAACAAGAAGAGAACATCCGTCGTCGCCCYAGCGCTTGCCTAGGAGTTGTATGGCTCGAGGAGTCCGGTTGCGGTAACACTAATGATAGCCTTGAGGTCGCCCGCGACACAGTCAACTACGATAACTATTTCAATGATATCAATGATGAGCATTGTTTCAATGGAAAGTCTAGTGTGAACACAGGTTTGACTACGAACAACAKCAGCTACAAAAAGGTTCAAAATCATGCCGATTGGAATCATCGCTRCGACTGCAACGATAACCACCATAACAATGACAGCTCTTATCCCTCYCAAGATACTGAAACCATGGGTGRATTCGCTACCACTCCTAGTTTTCCTGCTGCTGCCGCTGTTGCTAGTAGCAACAGTTGTAACAGTGASAAAAACCAAATCATGCGGCGTTCCAACGAGAGCGAAATGCTTTGCAATCCTCACAAYKTTATCCCTCGTGCTTGGCTGATCGAGGATCAGGAGGCGATTTTTGCTGCAGCRGCAGAAAATAAGAATACAACTTTTGGCAACCATCAACAYAATCCCAGAAGCTTCCGGGATGATCCCCTTGGTGATGGCGACGTTGTATACATTGGTGAATACAAYCTTCTCGGTCAACCACATGGATTRCATGGGGAAGTCATTTGGAAATACAGTAGCAACAGCAGCAATAKAGGCCATCATACTCAACGCTACGTTGGTAGCTTTCAAAATGGAATGCGGTCCGGCCAGGGCACATTTTTCTTTCGAGATGGTACGAACAAAGTGGAAGATAACGCGTCGTATCTTGTCGTTCTATTCCAAGCAAAGACAGAGAGAAAGAGAGGGTCAATCGTGTCGCTTGATCGTTCTATAASAATTTTATTTTGATTTTGTGATCGATGGTACCATCCCGTGCGACAACAACGCAGCTTTGCATTTGTCTTGTGCAGCAGAAGATTGATGGAACTCCYGTTTGTCGCGCGTGACGCTCTCACTCATTTGATACATAAAGCTCTTCAATGTCRTTTGTGYTCTCACATCGATTGTTCCCTTCACATCTTRCCTACATCKCACGATATCATATCCATTTACATTCAATACTTCATGATGAAAMCAGGTTCTGAATACACCGGAGAATGGAAAGAAAATCAGATGCACGGCGATGGCACTCGTAAATTCGCCAATGGTGACACCTACACCGGACGATACCACAAGGGTATGCGGAACGGAGGTCCCAACTGCAAGTTTCGATTCGCCAATGGAGACCTGTACGTAGGAGCATGGGAAGTCGACCGCTTCCACGGAGACGGGAGGTACTTTTTTGCACACGATGGAAGCGTCCTCGAGGGCACCTTTGTCCACGGTGTCAAAGAGGGCAAGTTCAAGCTACAGCGACAGATACGGTCGACCGAAAAACTTGAYATTTTGAGGTTTGAGGATGACAAGCTTGTTGGACTGGGTGTGCGATGGAATTCAAAACGGACAAAGACATGGCTCTTGACGGTAGTTCCGGTTTCCCGCCCAGCAGYGCAGATGCGAAAGCTAAAGCGCGATGGCGATGGTAATGGCAATCGAATCGAAACGAATGAAGCCATGAAAGCACCATCGTTGTGCAGGAAGGACAACAGCAAAAAAAGTAGCAGCAGTAGAAGTAGCAGCAACAATAGTAGCAACACCGATACCAAAAAGCCGAAATTCCACCGCCGTCTGATTGGTTGTCTCGCAAAACCCCTACGGTATGACTTTCGCAGCCGAAATAACCCTTCATCGTCTTTAGAARCGAAAGGTTCACCAGCCAGGGGCAACRGGAATATCAATGGTGATACAATGGAAACAATAGCCACGGCATCAAAACCCTATTCTTCATCTTCATTCTCCACGCCACCTCCCAAACCAACATTGCCGTTGCCATTGTCATCAACATCATCATCTTCATTCATCTCGCTCCCGGTTGATAATACTGTACCGGTGTTCCCTCAGGAAATCAAAAAGTTCACTACTTGCATCAAAAAGTCTGTGCGAATCCCGATCTCTCAGGCCGTGTCCATCCAATACGATTGCGAGATGGGTACCACAACCATCACCGCGAAAAAAACAAGGACGTCCACAATTCTGYCATCGTCATCGGTGTAACAATCGAGCTTGACGACGGAGTCGGACCGATATTGCATAGGGTTATTTGGATAGCGAAGGCTTTGAGACAGGTAGGAGACGTGAAAACCACGAAGACTAAAAAGATCCTATGGAATAATATCGGCCGAAGGTGGAAAGGTGCATCAACCAAGAGAAGACCAACTTGTCCGTCGACTATTGTAAGACAACATGGTCCGGTATGATATCACTATCACTTGACCAAGAACGTACTAGTTATGCTGCGTTAATTAGTAAGGTACCCGTACCGTACTTCATAGCATTATTGTCAATTGTCATGCTTTGATCGTCCTGTTTTGATGTGAAGATAAGTTTACTGTTAAGGGTTTTGTTTTCGACCGACGACTCGTACGATCAGAACAATAGGAAAAGTCCGAAGGTGGAGGTACCTGTACTAATTTATTCAATATTCAATATTCTACCGGTAGTACGTACGGGTAGTTTAAAGTTTTGGCTCAACTCCTATCATTATTGGCGCGGGCGCGGGCTCGCCCTTCACCGAGCACCTTTTTTCGTTTTGTCAAAGATTTCCGATCAACGGTTGGATTTCCTCGTTTTGGGTCTTGGCTAGAACAGATCGTAAACCGATATCTTCTATTGTTGCTGCCATTATGTACTATCTACGGTAGTATCTACCGTAGCTCCTATCCTACCCTACCATACTCGCTATCTGTAATCTGAAATCTATACAGTACCAAACTTGCATGACGTATTTTTCACGATGGTTTTGTAAAGCGCAGTACGTACAGAACGTACGAGTACAACAGTTCCAACCGCGTACCGTATGGTATTACACAATACCCATACTCGTACTCGTTCGTGCCACAGCATTGGAACGACCTCCCAGATTTTGAGATGAAAAACGAAAAACATCCCTGATGATTTTGATGATCTTCATGTATGAGTACTAGGACGAATAGTACGTAGTACTATGAACGAGGTACGGTACAGTTATCGTAGGGTTGAGAAATATTATTCATGACGAAAGAATGGGAAGCAGCCTGAACACACAGATTTTGGGCGTACGGAGTGGTAGCACTAGATGACAGACACCCACCCTGGCATGCCAAACGCAGCTCTTGTAACCAAGAATCATAGCATCGCTACAACTCAATCCAGCACAGCACAATAGAATCCAAAAAGAACTCTGCACCAGAATAGAATAAAACCAACAGACAGGTCATCGATTCCAAAACCATGAAGCCTTTGTTTTCGCGATGCGCCCTGCCAATGCTGCTGCTACCGATCGCAGGTGCCGCTTCGGCTACAAACCACGACGCCCTCGTCGAGTGGCTTCAAGCGACGCCCAAAGGCTTCTTTTCCGAGAAGATTGAGTGGAAGCAGCTTGGTTCTTCCTACCACGCCATGTTCGCTGCGGAAGACATTCCGAAGGACGAACCCCTGATTGTCGTCCCCCAGTCAATCCTGATCACAAAGGGAACGGGATTCAACTGCGACGCCGTCATGATGCTCATCGAGGAGCTGGGAAAGGGCAAAGACTCGCACTATTWTCCCTACATCGATTACCTATTTGGCGACGGAACCAAGCAGGGGGATCTTCCCATGGCGTGGAGCGATCTCGGCCAGGAAATCCTGGACTACATTATCGGGGACGGCTTGTTTCCGCTGSAATTTGATCACCACCGGGTRCAGCAGTTTTGCCCGGAGGTCACCAACGACGTGAACAACCCRAGCCAGTTGGAAGTGGACGCCTATCTTTTTATGATTGCGCGRTCCTGGGACGACGTCATGATTCCAGGTGCGTGTCGTAGTTTTGCCACCCAATCGACAACTTTGTCATTTGCTGTACGCAAATCTATATCTAATATATTTTTCTTCCTCTTTCTGCTCGGCTACAACATTTCCAGTCTACGACATGGTGAACCATCGCAACGGAAAATGGCGAAACGTCGAGGCAACCTCGGCGCACGATGGCAACGACATTAACGTCTTCGCCCTCCGTGACATCAAGGCCGGTGAGCAGCTGTATATTTCCTACAGCGAGTGCGACGACGAMGACTGYAKGGGACTCAAGTACAAATACMTYACACCACAGATCCTGGCGGACTATGGATTTGTGGAACAGTACCCTAGGAGATTTCTGCTGGAACAAGACACGGAGTTGGTTGTAGAAGTAGACGTCGACGAGRCCACCGGCGACAAGTTTCTGACCTGGCCCCTCGGGCGCCGCCCGGACTTTGATCAGCTTAACTACATTGCTGCGCAATCAAAACGACTTCACGATATGGACGAGTCCATTGCTCGTGGCGTGGCCTTGTTAGAGTCGGACCACGAACGCGGTGTGATTAAGGATTATTTCGAAGCCTACAAGGAAGCCCTGCACCTCGCGGTGGCGTACCGAGGKGAGGACGTTAGTGCTACAACCGCGAAAGCGAAGACCAACAAACAATACGATCCTCTCACGGAAGGGAAGGGCCCCGGGGTGGAAGGCGAAAACATTGAGGTCTGCTGGGAAAATCCTTCTGATCGCGACTGGGACACTTCGGATCTCTCGCAATCGCAGTACCAAGAAATCGAGTTCACGTACAACGAAGACCGGGACAACACGTGCCTACACCTGAGTGGATGGCTCCAAACGTGCACCAACTTTCGTCCCCATTACCACGAGGCCTTTGTTCACGTTCCGGCCCAATACGTGGAGGACGTGAAGAGGGTAGCATTCCTGGGCGGCGGCGACAACATGATTTTGCACGAAATTCTGAAGTATCCCAACCTGGAACTCGTGGTCGGAATGGAACTCGACCAGCAGGTCATTCGGTCGGCCTTTAAGAATCTGGGTACCCTGCCCTATTTTGACGATCATCGCGTGCACTGGTGGTTCGGCGATGCCACAAAATCGCTGTTTGCCTTGCCGGAATCGTACTTTGGCAGTTTTGATCTTGTCTTGGTCGATTTGCAAACCTTTGTTGCCGATGCCCTGAAGGTTACCGACAAACTGACCATTATGGACACAGCAATCTTGCTGATGAACCCAGACGGTGGAGTCATTGCGAAGAACGAAGACTTCAACGTCCGTGCCAACGTAGGTTTTGCCAAGTACACGGTGGATTTGGAATACCACGACGTGCCACAGATTTGCCAGCAAAGTATTACCATGGGAAGCAACTCGATTGATTTCCTCAAAGCCACTCCCAGGGCACACGATATCGAGACACTTACCTTTGATTTGCCGGGRACCGAAGAAGCCGAGCCSTTCGACGCCTGGTACAGCTACCGCCAAACCGTCCGTGACACGTGCGCAGCGAACTACGACAGCAGCGATAATTCTACCGAGGATGCTACCTTGAAGGACCAAATCGGAATCCTGGTCGTCTTGGAGGCAGAGGATGTWAGCAAACCACTCGATTCCCTCGCRGGGGTACAAACCATGATCACCTCAGCTATCAAAGAATTAGGCCTCACGGAGGTTTCCATCTCTAGTGCAGCCGACGAAACCACTTTTTTCCTCATCATGAAAGAAGGCTATATTACGGCCCGTGTGTTTGCTGAAGAGAAGTACATTGCGTTCGACGTGCTACTCTGGGATAGATTGGACCTCATTGATGTTCTCGATGGAGTTTTGATTGAGGCAGTTGGTGGGGACCTCGAGGAATCTGCATCCTCCTTCCGATTTGTGTCGGGTGGTATCTCGGGATTGAAATCTCAGCAAATCGATGTAYTGACAAAGGTGGCGGGAGAAACAGARGCTCTGCTGTGCCAGGACGATGACATCGGTGAACCTRTCACTRGTGAAGACAGTGCTTACGATCACACCATGAGTATTATCCTTCGTGATTTTGTAACGACTTTTRTTCCCCAACCAAAGGATGAAGGTTCGTCTCCGGTAATTGCTGTTATGTGTAGCGATAAAAGGAGCAACTGCTCGAGCTTGAACACATTGAAGTTKATCACSGGATCACTTAACGTTGTTCCGATCTACKCATGCGATTCGTTTGATGACATGCAGGCATGCGAAAGGGATGTTGAAGAAACGTTGAAAAGYGCTGTCAAGCAGTATAAGAAACTGGATGCTTTGGTAATCGACGAGGGTCTTCCATTTAGTATGGGTCAGATAATGGAAAGTATCTTCAGTAATCCMGTCAGTCACARCAAGATYATGGAACGATCTCACTTGATTTTGACTCCAAGTGTAGACGGGGAAAGCTGGAGAAATGTTATGATCGATCGTTTCAGGACCGACATTGTTCTTTTTGATGGAGCATACCGAGCTGATATTCGATTTTCCGGAAAGAACAAACCCTACTACAAATGGAGTATATTTTCTGCATATGACGTGGATTTCTTTAGCAGCTTAACCTTTGCCCTTTCCTCTATCAAGGAACATACGAGTTTAGAGCCCGAGGTAGAAGAGGTGGCAAATGGAATCGTGAACTACGTCCCAGAATTAGATTGGCAAGAATTCACTGATAGTGACTATGACAAAACTCGGTCAAAGGAACAGTGGGAAAGCCAGACACCGATGGGTCATCAGACCATCTTTCAGATGAATGTGCAGCCTCCTAAGATGAGGTTGGAAGAGGGCGAAAAAGTTTTGGCAGAACACGAGCCGGGTCCATGGGATGTCCAATATGGCGGGGCTGTGGTCCAAAAATATTTGGGCGACGAAAAGTATTCTGTCTTATATGATGGAGATGAGGTACCAGAAGAAATTAGTCGTGATCAAATCCGTAAATTTTCGGAGGYGGACATGGACACATCAACCTCGTTTGAGGTTGGAGATTTGATATTCTACAAAAACAAGCGTTCGATACATCAAAATGGCGTAATCTCACGGGTTGACGATGACGGAACCTACTCGATATATCTTCTCAACACTGCCGGTCAAAAATTATACGGCGTGCAAAGAAATGAGTTGATGTATCAATTTGAAACTGCCAACTTTTTCCAAGAGATCCCAGACTTGTCCGCTGCGACCCTGGAAGGAGCATTCGAAAAAGCACTAAAGACCAAAGTTGTTGGACCACAGAAACTATCTTCCATAAATTCTTTTCCGATCGGATCAGGGGTGATAATGACARCATTCTGGAAAGACGGGCACGCCTTGTTGAAATGGGATGGCTTGAAACGCGTAGATGTCAACTTTTTCACATACAAAGAGGATTTTCCTCTGAGAATTGCTTTCCWAGATGTGTTCTGTGGAGAAATCGACTACATGAAGAGTACCACCCGTGACGAGCATCCAAGAGGCTACGGTAGTATTGCAAACTTCGGAAGCGAAATTGCGAAGCCTCCGCATTGGATTACACAATAGAAAAATTTCATCTACTGATAGATATTAATTTATTTTTTTGATATGCATCCCCCATTTTGAGAGACAGGCCAACCTCCGTACAACCATATTTTTAAACATTTGATTTCAAGATGAAGCTCCAAAGGGTCACCGAATAATAGATTGTAGTGAATGTAGGAATGCTTTCATTCAATACAACATGAAAGAGATCTTTTAATTGGGCCTTCCTTTGGGAAAGCACTTGTCACTGAATCGCCACTTGTTTTGCTCGGTCTTTTCCAATATCTTCATGTCTTTCAACATACACGTAAAGTTGTATCCTAAGCCCTTCGATTTGAGATTCGCATATCCTGTGGCCCTTGTAAACTCTTTGAGGTCGTGGGGTTTGCCATCACTCAAAATGTCAAAAATAATTTTTGTTTTTTCGTCGGTRCCCTCCTTGCATTTCTTTCGAAGCAATTTGTAGAATTGCTCTTGTTTTTCCTCRTTAGTTTTCGGAGCTGCAAAGGAGAAAGAWTCTTTAGGCRAGGAGCGAAAACCGAGATCAGTGAGTTTCCCACCTGCAATCATCCCCTCCTCCACTAGCTCCTTGTAAGAATAAAAAAAMCCGTGACAACCATGGCTTGAATAACCAATAGCTTCTGCAATATCTTTTTTTGGAGTGGCCGTGTCTTTGCCCAAAGTTTCGTGCACCTGAAACAAATAAGCTAGTATCTAGTGGAAGGAGGGGAATTTGAAAGAAGSGAAAAAACAGAAATTGTTAGGCAAATGAGTTTGTGTCATCGTWGCAATCAGTTGCCATGAGTTGCCGCGAAGCTACTTACTTTCTTCTTGTTTTCTGGTTTCTTTTTCCCTCCTTTTCCCCTTGACTTCTTCTTCTCAATTATCTTCAGTTTTGCGTCATCGGGTTCTTCTTTCTTCGGAACGATAAGTTCAATTTTMATTGAATTCATCGCACTTGCATTCTCAGATACTGATGGCGGAGTTTCCGACTCTGCAGAGGAATCATTGTTAGTCGTTTGCTCCACTTTGACCGCCATTTTGGAAGAAAAATGTTGAGMCGATGATTAAGAAAAAGTTGACAAWATATAATGCGCTTGTCTCGGGGAACGAAYCATTTTRTTGTGAAAACTACCTGATGTTAGCAACAATAGAACCCRACAMGACAATTTTTGAAATGCACGGTTGGCGCAAAGAATGGGAGCTGTTRGTAACGGACAGGAGCAGTTCATTCCCTGCTAACAATCCGTCAATYTTTGGAAAAACGAATCCCACGGTATTGATTTTTTTAGATAGCATAYATTGGTATTGGAATGGGCTATGAAATCGATATWGGATGCTTTGATYATACTWGACACGGTTTATACTCGGAGTGAACAACATCATTACAACCCTCGAATAGAAGGTCGATAGGGACCTCAACTAGTACTGGCCAAACCAAAAGGGTCAGTAGTGACCTTACAACCAAGGGGCACTATCAACACAAATCAAAACACCAATCTCCGGAAAACTAGTAGTGTCTAGTGTAGGGCATCATCGAATGCTTTTTCGTGCAAAGTTTACTCGTATTGCAGTACTCAAGGGCGAGTACTTGATTMATAGTTTTCTGAAGTCGTTTGATTGTTACCACCTATTAGTACTATGYACTCAATACGTGTATGCATAGGATGTCTTTCGTCGCACTTTACTATCTTAAATAGGACTACGGTAGTGCRCCGGCTGTGTGAAAAYCTGCACTCATCCATTCTGTGTTATGCCCGCAGTTTACTGATCTGCACATCTTCTTCGTTGGATCCGCAGAAGTTGACCAGGTAGCAGTCCTCGATGCCAAAGTGGTGTCGATAGCACATTACCTGTAGGAAGTCGCCCCTCGTGAACCTCGGTTTGGCCTTGCACTCGATCAAGACCCTCTCTAAAYGGCCCGGCAACGAGACGATCAGGTCGGCCCGTTTCGCTACGACGGCAGTGGTGGTGGGGGCATTCGAACCCCCCGGCTCGCGCCGAGCAGGTTGCCCGGGCGTGCATCCCGCGGGCACGAGGCGCTGGAATTTCAGCGGAGYCTCCACGGCAACGTCCAACCCTTCGCGGAGGAGGAGATCCTTTAGTTCGGTCTGGTAACAAACCTCCTTTCGCCCCGGTCCGACCGTGGCAAAGACTTGTTTGGTCCACGACACTAGATTGGCTCGAATCACGTCCGTYGCTCTCCTTGTGTTTGTTCTTGTTGRCAAAGCAGTGGCTGCCGTTTTTGTGCCACGATTTGTTACCGGGGCTCTGGAATTGTATCTTTTTGTGGTCAGCGAGGGAGRTTGGTTCTGTTGGCTTTTGTGTGCTATTCTTGGTTGTGTCTTTATTTTCCTTCCAACCGGCAGTGTCTCGTTGTGGCTTTTGTTACTACGGTGATCAGTGTTATATCCACTCTTCTTAAGAGAAAGATTTGTAAGAGAAGAGATGAGCTCTTCCGTGGGTTTTTCGTTGCATCTTGTTATGGTTGCATTCTTTTTCGTTTTTCGGAACGGTAGTGACGGTGGACCAGAAGGACGAACATCAATGCTGTGTCTCGGAAGAGGATCAATGCAATCCACTTTAGGAATGACATGGCCTTTTCTGCCACRCCTAGAAGCACTCCGTTGGCGACGACTCATGTTCTTCTGTGTTGTCGAGTGCTTTGTTGTAGTCCTGTATCGAGCCAAAGCTGTTACTAGTACTCTTGCTTTTGCCACCTCATGGTAGAATCGAAAAACACGGTCGACGGGTTACGTTATTGCGTTTGCTTTGTRCTGCACGTTGCAAGTGTCGTGCTGYCTTCTTGATCCTGTGCAGGACGTAAGAGCTCCGTCATTTTGATGGTTCTTGCCTCTTTGCTCRCCGCTCCTGTTGTTGGTTCAATCGTGGGACTCGGGTTATCGCGCACATTTGAACCAACATGAAAAATAATAGTACGCGTACATGTACGTAGTACGGTAGAGCGAGCAGACCAGGAGTACAAGTAAACTTTAAGTCGTTTCGGGTTTTATCGAGTTGCATCTTCCAACATCATCGATTTTGAAACTTTCCTATCGGAATTCCTAGATTCCCGTGGCCTCTTTTTGGTTCTTATAACTAGCATTTCACAAACACGTAAGAGGTCCTTCAAAAACAAGAAAAAAGAAATCCTTTGTCGCCACGAAGAATGAATCGTGATCGTTTTTGTGCACTGCCTCCAGCACATCTCGTACACAGTACCGTATGATAAAAAAGATTCGTGTACGGAACGTACTGACTTACAGAAGTTTTGTTACGTATTACATACAGTGGTGCTACGCTATGTCTCCCAGACTTTCTTTGGTACGAAAAGTACGAGTACCGTACTTYCGAGAAGTACTTTTCGTGCATCCACTCCGCACGATACGGTAGTAGCACGGCATTTCTCCGCCAACAACGCCAGTCCTTGTTCCGAGCTCTGCGGCACGATGATAATCCTTCCCGTGGTCAATGCTGTCGCTGTTGCTGCCTCGGCAGCGTGCACGGGCAACGGGTGTCTGAACGGCGTGGCAAGCACGGCAGCAATCGCTGCTCCGGCCGCTCTGTCGGCGGAAGCTGCGACCACGACGGTCTCTCTGTCCACGCTCGGTGTGTTGCACRCCGTTCGGGGAGGAGCCACCGATGCGGCTATCAATTTCTCGCGGGAAAGTCTGGCCCTGCAGGGGCTGTCTACCTACGGAACAATATCGGCATTGGTAATGAATGCCTCGTTGCGACTGTAAGAAGCACGCRAACTTTACATCCATCGGAGCTACTACTGCTGGCTCTCCGAAGTGCGYTTGAAACGGTCATCGGCTTACTAATTTKCCTCCTGTTGTCTTTCGACCTCGCAGCTTTACGTCGACCAACTTCAGGAAGGAGCAAACCAAGGTTGTGAGCAATACGTTCTACACTTCGACGGCGCTGTGCATAATGTCCGGGGCTTTCACAGCCATTCTCTTTCAGCTTTTGATCATCTATTCGAAGAGCGCTCTGGGAATGTCCAACGACGACGGTTACCGGGCCTTCAAGGMAGTYACAMGAGGGTATCGCATTTTGGGATTTCGATGCTTCCTTCTGGAAATGATCTCTTTTGTGGTTGCTTTCACSGCAMGACTATACAATACCCTTTGGRTCGATGCCCTCGTTCATCGCGAAACAAACGACAAATCGAAACCCACTTTGTCGTTACCCAAAAAAATTATCTTCGGTGGGTCGGTGCTCTTGATTCTTGCCGGAGTTTATAACATCCATTCCGTGTTGAGCCTGGCAACAAACACTATTTTCTGCCAGGAGACAAAGTCTTGTATTTGATCAGTTCTACAATGAGGTTTGCCAGAGGCAGCCGGTCGGATACGAATCGAGTCGAAACTAGGTTTAAAGACGAGAAAGCCGATATAATGCCGTTGATTGTATCTGAGGTGCCTTTATTCTTCATTCTTTGGGGTACTTATTTCCCTGTTTTAATCCTGAATGTAACTCGTGTTCAGATTCCGATAAGATGCGCACGGAATCAGTTCGATACCGAGCTGGTCTACCTGGTTGTCCACCGTATCGCTGTTTTCGTTTCCATCATTCGCCATGCCTCTGAAATGAATTGCATTTCGATTGGATTTTTCGCTACAACGGTCGCAACCAGTTGATGTATTGTTGGYGGGGACCATCACTGATCTATGATGATAGTGCAAATGATTGCGTTTCCAATACTGGGCTAGGAGTTCTTGTGACTTCACAAGCAGGTGCCCGCTTTTCTGTATCGATTGCCGAACGAAGATATGGCTATMGCGATACCAAACATCTGCTTTGTGTTGTGCCAGTTTCCAAAGTGCAAGCTTCCATTGCTGCGTCAAGTTTCGGGTGGTTGCCKTCATAACTTTAGAATGGTCAAAGTCAATTTCTTCGTTTCCAAAGCAATACCAAGAGCAAAGTGGCCCATCAAGTYCCCCCTCTCGAGTCGCATCAACCAGGCACGTCCTCTGCTTGATTTGGGCACGTTTTGCCGCTAAAAGATCATGGGCAGAGACCATTAGCGTGTTTGAACCCCGGGAACGTTCGGAAGCTGAACGCGCTGGGACGATCAGCTTCCCCGCAATATGGTTATCGCTAAATTCACTATCGCCACCAATGCCCTTRTTCTGTGCCGATATTGGTTCGTCTGCATCCAGAGAAATGCACGAACCAGGCAGGATCAAGCGATTACCCGATGCGTCTACCACCGTTTCCGACACCCAATCAAACGAGCTGTAAATTGAYGAYGAATGATTRTCTYTMGTGTACGAATGAATTGGCWGAAGAAGCGTAGCTTGGAGAGMATTGAATTTCTGGGCAGCATTTTGGCAAAGACGCGTAATTTGGTGGCTGTCCAATTTTTTTCTAGTAGCCCTAAGAAAAGYTCKTGGCATTTTACTTGCTCTGGCCAAAAGGGCAGACGAAAGCAACTTGCGATGATCATCATTTTCAGCGGGTGACGGAATGGGGATGAGGACATAATCAGAGCCAATATCCTCTATGATCGTCTCCAATGGGCAGTGCGTGTCCTCGTCATTTTCTGTGACARCCTGGTTTTCATCTAGAATTAAGATATCGCCATCGTGTCTGTTGTCGTTGTCACTGTCACTGHCAACGCTATCGTTGATGGATTGGCTGACATCAACTTTCTCTGTATCGCAGCTGCATTTGCTCCCTCCTCGTGTGGATTCCGGAATATCTTCTCTTTGGTTTTCATTTTTTCTGTCGTTTCTGCCATCTCCTAYCTCCTCGTTCACAAAGCCRTCTTGCTCTCGTGGTGCAGATGCGTTATGGRTRAACGAAGTTACAAAATAGCTAATGACGCCCTCTGGTTTTCTTGTTTTTTCAACGTCCTCATTTGATATGTCAAGCACAGGAACATGATCGTACAGAACAGCCGGAATAGACATCTTCAGAATAATACGTATTGTGTCCTACGTTCATAGACGATATGCAACCACAGCTTGTTGTTCACGGACGACTTTGACATGTGCTATGCTCGCTCAATACTGAATCCTCAATCAGCACGCCAKGAAATTTGTCTCAAAAGATGTATGTGGTAAGGTACACATGGTCCGGAACAAAGATCACAACAGACGGACCAGACCATAATCGTACTCATGCAGTACTACGTACCGTACTGCAAATTTCGATGGAATGGAAAGACGATCGCATCCACTGTTGAGTTTCAGTCGTGAATCGCAACTTCGCCAACTCGCTTGATGTTTGGTTTTGGATTTCGATCGAGAATCCGAGAATGAAACCAGTCACGTACAGCACGAGTTGTACATGTGGAGTACGTACAGTACTAGTATGAGACCGTAGTGATGATAGTACAGTATGTTCGTAGAGTATGATCCGCACGKATGAAGTTGGGCGCAGCAGCAACGGCTCTGAAATTCGGCGCGATCCGATCTCAAGAAAAACAGCTGATTTTTTTGAGAATTCGAATGATGCTTTTTTGATACTAGAAGAATACAGTATTACCGATACTTCGTAGGAAAACCTTCAGAGAAAAACGACCGTCTGCTGACACGAAGCTACGATCCCTGGGGGGCATCATAACAACACAACAAGTACGGATAGATAGTCCCACTAGAAGTGCATCGCATCGCATCGCATCGCATGATACTATCCACGTACGTTCTTCTTATCATTCGGCATCACTGCGAATAGTCCTCTTCGCACGCATTGTTCTCTTGTTTGTTTCGCTTTATCGTTGCACGAGAACGAAACCGAACCGAGTTCCCCGAGATGAGCAAAAACATGACGGCATTCCAAAGACCGCTGCGTTCTATTATTGCTGCACTATCGTTCTTCGTCGTTGGAACACCCACAATCGTTGGCTTTTCGCTCCCTCGAAACAGCAACGKGGCAGCACATATCAACCAYCGGAGCAACGGGCTGTTCCTTTCGGGATGGCTTGGCACACCGCCCCAAGTAGCAATCTTTCGCCGCCGCCGCCAAAGAAATGCGCCTGTAGAGGGTTCGTGTTGCCTAAACTTGTCGGASGATTATGTTGGAGATGGCGATGATCCCAGGGACGACTCGCAATTTTTTGACGATTTTGACTTTGTCGTCGGGGAAAATGCCTCGAGCGACAACCAGGCAGATGCCTACGGCGTGTTCACGGAGGGAAGCGGAGACACATCGTCGGTGTTACAAGATCGRTTCGAACAACTGGAGACGATGGAACAAGCACAGAAGGATCAAATCCGTGACAACTGGAAAGAGGGATATTGGGGTGTTTGGGGCTGTTCCCTAGATCCTTACGATTTTCATACCAGTACGAGTAGTGGGGAGGAGCAGACSAGACAGCCCACACCCAAGAAAATAGTCATCACCTCCATACGACAGATGAACGATTGGAATGAGAATTKGGATAGCGACAGCGACGACSTCATTCTACTAGTAGTGGGGCGATCCGATGGAAGCATCTGTTGGCTACAAATGGAAACCCTTTCGTCCCCATCCACGTCCGCATCCACCGACAATGATGCAACGCGCAGTGTGGAAAATCGCTCGATCTATACGTCGTTCGAAAACAAACTGGTCGTAAGCAAGGCAACTAGCGATGGCGGAATGGTGGTGGGGACAGCGTTGCAACAAAGCAGCGACGATGAAACGTTTGGCGACGACAACACCGCCGATTCGAATGCCAATGGACACACCAACAGCCCGTTTGAGATCTTGGCACAGATTCAAACGGCCACGGTCGAAACCAAAACTACATCAACGACGAGCGATGCGGCGGCCATCGTGGACATGCTTTCTCTCCCAAACGCAAGAATGTTGTGGACCATTGCCAAGGGGACACCCAATCACATACAAGGATGGAACCTGGCCCCTTCTGGGGACGACGACGAACCAGGTGTTTTGTTGCCACAAGAATCCTTGCTCCAAGCAGACATCGACCGCGTCCATGATTCGCCGATCGTGGGGATGAAGGTCGTTCCGAACACAACAGGCGACACGAACCGTGGTCGCAACACCGAATGGATCGCATCGGTAGCTGTGAGTGGCCAGGTCTTCCTCTGGGAAASCACCCGGGGAGCTGCTCGGGTGCGTCTGGACGCCAATCTCCTTCATGGAACGCAAGGGGAAGAAGAAAWCAACAGCGGGAACCCGGTTTTGTCGCCGTYGTCATCGTCCATGGTCTCGTCCATGGACGTGGACGATCAATACTTGTATCTAGGGACCAATGACGGCAGGATTGTTATTTTTGGCTTGGAAGACTTCCTTCAGAAATCCCACGATWACACCGAAGAAACAGCAAGTCCGCCAGCAGCCGCATCCCTGCCACTTTTACAGAGCTTTGTCGGCTTTGCCAACGGTGACCCRGGGGTCTCGTCATTGCTAGCTGCTGGATCGGGAACCCTTGGTGGTGTCAACAAKAGCAACAGCAATWATAGYAGTATGAGGCCCCCCACCAAATCGTTGATTGCGGGGAGTRTAATGGGTGAACTAAAACAATGGGASCTGATCCCAGCCGGAACTGGTCGGTTGGAATATTGGCCACGCATGACGTCCCAGAAGCTGCCGGGAGGAAAACCTCATGTGTACGAAACCCCCAGAGCTGGTTCCTCCGCAAACAACGACGGGGACGAAACCGCGTCTCCCGCGATTCGAGGACTCCTATGCATCCAGCAAGTTCTGTTGGCTGCGACCGATCACGATCTGACCGTTTGGGATTCTATGACGGGCAAGGCGCTCTACGACATGCGGGGACTGGAGTTTGGTCCGGTTCGCGATGACAACGAAAMAGTGGTTGCATTGCCGCGCCCTAATCTCGTTGCTGCAAAGGATTCCATTTTGGTGACCAATGGCATGGAACAGCTGGTCTGCGTTCACGATTTTGCCATGGATCGAGTCACGTTTGGRACCTCGGAAGAGAACGGCGACGAGGATACRAACGATTACTTGGAACAACTCTAATGACCTGGYGATCCTTTCCAAGATTCCAATGATCTTGAACCAACGGAAGAAAAATCAATCATGGTTTTAGAGCGAGAAGCGAGTGAAAGTATCCAACGAAAGATGCTTCAAAAAGATAATAATACGGTGGCAATTGATGCATTCGAGGAGATGAGCGAAACAAAAGATGCAACGAYTAAAAACAATGCATTCACACAGACGCAATTCCAATCGAACTATAGCCACGTAGTGCTTCAATCCTATTTGAATCATGRTCTTCCTTTTTTAAAAAGGTAATCACACGAGTGTTGGATGTTGAGCATCGTGYACTTTGCCTGTTTTTTAAAATCCTTGATGTACTAGCTTGATCGTAATATCCTCTATTTATTGCCTGCACGAGAAAGGCGTTGGAATCTTAAACCCACTTGAACGAACATCTTTCCAACGGTGTGTCGTCAATGCCGCTGTTTTGGTTGTCGTCATCATTTTGGCATAGACCCAGAACATCAGTTCCAAAAAATAGACGTTGCCGCTTCCCCTCTGTAGAAATGAATGCATAATGCTTATTGATGTCTTGGTCATAGTCATTGCTCTGCTGATTGGACAAATCTGGTCCATTGACAAGAGCATCTTCCTCCATGGGAAGTGGTGATTGTGAGGAGGACAAATAACTCATTATTGATCCTTCATCGTCACACTTGCGTTTCGATGAGGTGGTTTCAGTATCACTGACGTTGCCACTTTCCCCCTTGACCCCCTTGTCCTTTGGCTTTCTCATATCTCTAAATCCAACACTCACTTTTTCYCTGGCCGATTCATCTGRGACCTCGAACCAGAAACCGCCGCACTTGTTGTCTTGTCGCAAGAATCTCGATCCGTGGGATTCTTTCAACTCACGAACCACCGACGCTGCCACCATGGTTTTCCGTCCGCGATTCCGTTTGGCATTGTTGTATTCCTCTCGACGTTGTTCGAGTACGTAGCGAAAAAGCGTATTTCCCGCGTGTTTTCGTATGGGCCATCCCCTTCCAAACAAAATGTCCGAATGGCGGGGGCATTCGATTCCCTTGAATTCCTTTTTGTTTTTAATGTATTCTTCTCTTATAGATTGTTGCTCCAACCACTTGCGATGATTTGCATCTTGCCTTTCCGACTTTCGTKTGTTGATCGGCAATTGCGACGATTGGATGCCGAATGTTTGCATGCTATAACAGCATTCTGTAGCCGACCCTACATGGATCCGCACCCGCGATCTTAATTCGGAGCCAATCGCCAACAAAAACATTGCTTTCACCATGTTCAGCAATTGTGTGTTTCCAGATGGCGGGATGTAACAATGAAGTGCATTTACTCGGATCAAAATAGCCCGCACTACCCTTTTGTGAACAAAGCTGCGGACCTTCAGATCATCGATTCGTATTTCGTGCATCCAAAAGATCATCACCACTCCGCTTCGCTGCACGTCTACATCGTCTTTCGCAATTCTCAATGACATGTATATCGCGACCTTAATCTATTTGAACAACAAAATTAATAACAGTGTGAAGGGTGAGCGAGAAACAGAATGGCGCAAAAGACGGACKGTGTAGTTAGTATCACTATTGCTTTTGTGCGATGTAGCGACCATTTCATCGATCGGACCATGCCCGCGTCAATTTGGCATCGATCGTCGGTAACGAAGCGAAGSACGTACTCGTGAGTCTATAAAATTCTCGTTCGGTCGGGCTGGATCGAACAAATCTTTCACGACGTCGCCGGAGAAATGGCCAAATATTCGACGCCCGCTTCGATCTCGGCCCGGTAACACCTGCAAATACCCGGCGTCGAGGWATTTGCGGTCGTTTTCACTGAGATCCGACAAGCATATTTCTCTCTCCAATCCAAAATCACCAAAGTATTCCTGAACGAGTTCGAGAAAGGCAACGAGGCGGGCTGCTGCCTTCTTCGGATCGAAAAATTCATGTCGCAGRAACATCAACCTGAATTCCTCCGTGTTTACCCATGTCGTGTCCTTGTACTTCGTTTGGCTGATGTTGTAGGCAGTGTTCTGCGGGTACTTTTCTTCCAGAACGGYCAGTTCCGTCGTCAGTCGCTCCAGCGAATCACGGAGAAGTGCGGGGCTTTCCTGAACTAAGTATTTTTGATCGCGAACKCCGTGGACTTCCTCGTTGATMAYGTCGCGTTCCTTCAGAGAAAGCTGATTGAGTTCGTACGCCAAGAGCGCATCGGTAGATTGGTGTGAGCCAATGTCGGCCTTCAGAAAATCGTGGGCGT